CCCCCCCCCCCCCCCCCCCCCCCCCCCCCGAAGAAATGGGGGTGTTACAGAGCCACGAAAAGTACTTTAAAATAAATTCAGTTTCCCATGCAAAGTAATATATGTTATTTTCTTGCTTCTCAACAACACTCGGAAGAGACAGAGTCATCAACAGCCCTGCCAGCATGTGGTTGCTACTCAAGACTCATTTACGTATTTGGATTTTTTGACGAACGATCGCTCCAGCAACATCTCCATTTTTCAGTGAACTGAAAATTTGCATTTTTTCGAAGAAAGAGTATTTACTAGAAAAATGACCGGGCTTCATGCAGAAAACTATCACTTGGGTCATTTTTGTATGCCTATGTACCTCAAAGTAAGTGAATTTATGTGAGTGAAATGCGGGCTATCGATTTTTACTTGATTTCCGTAAAAAGAAGACGTGTTCGAAGAAAACTTCAGGCATTTTACGTCCAAAAACATAGCGACAAACAAGAAAAAAAAAATTTATTTAACAAGATTTACTGGTATAAAATGCGATTTTACAATGAAATACGACCGATCAGATCCGGACAATAATAGTCCCCAATGAAGCGATAGACGTGCGAGGGCGTAAATGAGGATGTATGTGATATGTAGAGATAGATGAGCTCAGCTGGGATTAAATCAAACACCGGATTGACCAGTTGCGCAACATCCTCCAAATCAGTCGCTTCCGAAAACGGGCTAACATTTGTCACGGATCCGGAAGCCAGCACTCGATCCACATCCGACAGAAACAATGGCATATATTTGTAAAAAGCAGCGCAAACACACACCGGCACTGAATGTCGTTTTGCAGCCAAGCACATCATCAGACATCCTAAATCGGTTTTTTAAGGGAACATTCTCATCATATATATATCAGCTGTGTGAGTAAGGCTATACTGATGATTCCCATTACTACCTGCGTTCGATCAGTTTTTACAGCTAAGGGATGAAACACAGACTGCATCCTAACATTTCTTTTTGTGTGATAGCCAGCTTGATCCCTCATCTCCTACTCTACTACTTTAATGAACCACGTATGCTTCCTATCACAGTTAGCTCCTAACGTATGCTTCCTATCACAGTTAGTCCCTATTTAACAAATTTGAGATAAATTATGTATAAAAAATGCGTGTCAGAACCTATAATTCTTCGAAGAATATATTGACTCGAGTTATATTTCATTTTTTAAAGGCTATTTGGACTTTTTCTTCAGTCGATTACTTCTAAGATCGTTTCGGCTTTCACTTTTTTTTCCAGTTGATAAGGCATCGGTGATTCTCAAAACACACCAAAAACAATCCGGAACGGCCAAAGTCTTGTCATATGCTTCTGTCAGAAAAACTATTGAGTTGCTAATCCCTTTAGTCGGCGAGACGAACGTCAGAATCAACAGCAGGACGTCCAACAGACGATGCAAAATCGATCAAAACAACAGGAAAGTTGCAAGCTGTACCCTTGGACAACTAGATTATTTTTTACAGCTCAATCTCATATCCATGTAAGATTTACACAGCTGCGACGATGGGCTATATGACCGAATAAAACAAAATCAGCTGGTACTACCCATATTTCATTTCTTTTTGTCTTTTCAAGTATTATTTTAACGGTTCCATTATTTCTTCTTTTGCATATAAGCGTATATTTCACAAGATATGCCTTTCTGGGCCTGCCATATTTCTCCATTTTTGCAACTGTGTGTAAAATAATTCAAAAAAAAAAAAAAAAATTTAGAATATGCATATTTTGCCTCGCTAAAATATGTATAAAAACTAAACTTTTATATTTTCCGCATATATTTTGATTTGCAAAAATCAGAAGAATTTTCTCACAGATAACTCAAGGTTCACGCAATATACATAAGCGCATAATAAAATCAAAATATGCATAAGCAGATGATACGTTCACACGTATATCAACTTGTAAATGCATTAACTGTGTGTGCATATTTCGTAGAAAATACAGTGTGACCAAGCAAATTATGTAAATTTATGCGCAATTTGTGTATTTTATGGAGTTGTGGAGAAGGTTGTGACTAAAAAGAAAATATAATTAAAAGCAAA